ATTGTTATTGTTATTGTTATTGTTATTGTTATTGTTATTGTTATTCTTATTGTTATTGTTATTGTTATTGCAGTGGGTCTTTTCCGACTGAGTCGTCCATGATTGCTGAGCGCAGAGTACAGAGAAGGGAGATGACAAAGGCGCGGCCGGCTACTTTCTGGATCGAATGGAAGTTGCTCGGCAGGTAGGGTTTAATAATAAAACAAGAATAAAATATACAGAGTATGGCGCATATAAATTAAGCGGCGTGCCTTAATATTTCCTAGGCGATTATAAATTGGTGTATATCCCAATATTTCGTGGATTGGTTGGTGGACAAAAATAACGAACCTGCATGGTACCAAACAGGACCAATATAGTACCAGACCGATAAACGGGGTTTGAAACGGATCTCAATTTTTTTTGTCCCAAACTGGACCGAACCGGTTCCAAACAATGCCATGACCGGTTCTCATAAAATGAGAACCGGTACCGGACTGAACCGGACCGAAGTATGGTTTATTAAATTTGTACTACTATAGTTTATCTAAAATATATTACTTACCTCATCGGTCCCCAAATTGATTTGTAAAGCCAACATTTTTTTTTGTCAAAGGTAATGTTAAGTTCTTGATAATTAATACAATTGTTAATAATTAAAATTTACATATTTGGAAACCACATTAAAATCTCTCTAAAGTTGAAAAATCCAAATTAGAATATACGAAGTACAAAGTAGTTTTTTTGAAAGGCCAAATTAGAATATAATTAAAAAGTGAAATTCTAATTAAGTGAATAAAAAGAAATTGTTTGACCAAAAAAAGATTGACTTTGCAAATCAACTTGGAACGAAGGTAGTATGAAATATGAAAATTGATAAATTGTGTGGATTTTTGGAGAATGGCTAAACTTTGATTTTTTCTTAAACACCTGGAAAAAGTGGCATTGTTTGGTATTGGTATGGCATGGTACCGTCCCGTTTGAAAATGGACCGTACCGAACGGGCTTGGGTCTAAGACCGAACCGTACCGAACCGTACCAATAGTAACGGTATGGGTACGGGTTCGGCCAAATGTTGGACCGGACCGGACCGTGCCCACCCATAGGTTCAACTCCTGGATTGATTTTGACAGAGACTTTTGGCTAGTATACGCCGAAATCGATTTGGCACACATGTGTCAAATATGTACCAAAAACATTTTGACATGAGGTATTTAATTGACACCAAATTATGAATGTCAAATTCGTGTTGTAATTTTTTTTGCTGGATATTATTAATTATTAGTACCTCCGTCCCGCTAATTTTGGACAAGAGAAGGTGACACGGTTATTAATAAAAGTGGTTTATGTGGTTGATATTGAATTGATAAAGTAAGAATAAAGTAGGAATGATTTATAACCACACAAACTTTATCAAATAAGGTATGAGACAATCTTAGTGGGACAAACCGAAATGGTAAAATGGGACAATTATAGCGGGACGAAGGGATTATTATTTTATCACTATTGTAATATTTTGGATATTTTTAACGAGACAATTGGTTTCAGTCCGAAATCAAACCACATTTAAGCTTACTAGATTTGATGAGACTTGACTGTTTTTTTGTGAGACTGAAATTTTCTAATCTTATCTCGTCTGGTTTATTTTGTTTATGTCTGATCTAATTCGGTTTATTTGAGTTTGACATAGCATCAAGATTTTGAAATTTAAAACATATTTTGATAATAATAAAATTCACGTCGTACACCAAACATGATCAAATAAAAAAAATTCTCATGAAAAAACGAGTCCTATTAAAAAAAACTTAATTTGAAATAGGGTTTTTATCAATTTTAGTTATACGACTATTATTTCATTGACACTTGATACTCAACTTTGATTTTTTTCCACTTTTAGTACTCGACTATTGCGTTAGAGACAATTTGGTGTTCATATTTGAGAATTTTCATATTTAGTCCCCGACCTTCATAAAAATAACACATTTGGTCCTTCAACTATTTTAATAATGTCATTTTTAGTCTTTGACTTATTGTGTTAAAATCACAGTAGAATGATTAAAAGTGTCAATTTGATAATACTCGGAGGACTAAATGTGAAAAATTTGAAGTTGAGGACTAAAAGTGTCCCTAATACAGTAGTACGTCGGGGACTAAAATTGAAAAATTAAATGTCAACTATGAAATTGTCAATGACACAATAATCGAGGGATCGACAACAACTCATTTGAAATACTAAATCCAAACTAAACCGAACTTGTGTTGCATCTCGTGATCCCCATCCTTGAACTTGTTTTACGCAGAAAAGTTCTACTCCGTATTAAAAATCTAACAACCAGGCTTGGGGTACACATTTTTGTACACACACTTACACACTCGCGTCTGTGCGAGTGTGTAAGTGTGTGTACAAAAAATGTGTAAGAATAGTTTTTTCCAAAATCTAACTCGTGGGATATAATAGTTGTAGATTGTAGTCAATATATAATCTATATAAAAATTTAATACTTCCCCCCAATGAGTGGTATTACTCACTAATGAAATCAAAGCGGACATAGTCCCTCTCGTAGTGTTTTCTCTCCTCCGTCAATTTTGGGCGGCTTCTTTTTCTTCTATTGACGAGGCGTCGTCTCCATGGTTGCAGACGGAAGTAAGGTAGGGATAGGAGGGTTGCTGCAGCCGCTCAACAGTGAAGGAACGGCGCCAACAAGCGATGGACATGGGGAACAATTGATCGACAAACACATCGAAATTAAGACTTGTCCGATGATTGATTCGGCTCGTCAGGAAACCAAACGCCGGAGGACTGGTGCAACGGACTGGAGCAAGGCGCTAGGGTTTGGAGCCATGTCTTGCATGCGTAAAAAATCACAGCGAATGTTCGGCCTCCTCCTGAACCACCACTGGGGAGCGAACAAGGTGCTAGGGGTCAATAAATTTATTTTGCTTATCTAGTTTTCTCGATGTTTTGTTTTTATTTGGATCTTTTCTCTGTTTGGGTTGTGCTGTGTTTTTCGAGCAATAAAACTGTATATCTTAGGATTGGTGATGAGGAGTCTGGTTCGCAAGTCACTGCCTCAGTTAAGCCCATAGCGGGATCAACGAATTATATTGCTTCTAGGGCGGATGGCAGACAGAAGAATTTTTGACATTTTGTAACCCGCTTAGGTTCTGTTATATTAATTTAAGCCAGTTTCGTTTAAAAAAGAATAGTACTTCCCTCATTCTTAAATAAGTGCAACATGTTGAATTTTACACTATTCAAAATATATATTCACTGTTTTTCTTACTAATTGCAATTAGTTTGCCAAGAGTTTTGCTAAATAGTGAATTATTATCAAATTTAAGCCAAAATTGTGCAAATATCACATGATCTTGACAAAAAAAATGTGCAATTCATGATAAATTAGTGTCAGAGCCTTTGATTTTTTGTAATACAATACGATAAAAGTTTGACATACATGGTAGTATTATATATTTTAAACAAGTATCAACAAATTTTGCGACACAACATTTAGCATTGGACTTTATCCTAGTTTAGAACCGGAATCCTGACCATTTTATAGTATGAAAAATAACAAAAATTATAATCTAAAATAAAAAATGACGATTTGATCAAAAGAGAAACTAATGTTGATAAAACCCTAATTTTCGTAGTTTGAAAAGTGGACCGTTGCATTTAAAAAAGAACGGAGGAAGTACATATATGTGTTCACCGGGTTTTCCGGTCGTTGACCGGGCTGACCGCCGGGTCCGGGTTGACCCTTCACCCAGCCATTGCACCGGGTCGCTCTCCGGTCCGCTTTTTACAACATAGAATAAAATGAGACTGTTTGATTCGAAAAAATCAAATTTGCAATTCAATTTGGTAGGCATAAATCCCTACTTTCTAGCTTTTATACAATTTAAGAAGTCTCTAAAAGTTTCTAGTTGAATGTTTCACAAGACAATTTCAAAAGTTTTTTAAAATGGCTTTGGTACCACTTTTTTATTTTAAGATCTTTTCAATATTAAAGCCTAACAATTACTTAAAAAAACTCATAAAATATCTTTTCAGCTAGTTTTACCAAACATATACCTATAATGTATAACAATTAATAATATTTATGTAATAAGTTTTATTGTAGTAAAATATTTTAAATAAAATCATCATTGTTTCTATGAATGATATTGTATAATTTTGTAATCAGAATTAATGCAGTTCTATTTTACTCCCTACATCCCTTAATCAATGAATTCGTAGTTCATATTACTTCTGTCTCCTCACCACAAAACATAACCGCGTAAATTTTATTTTATTATTTTTTGTATCTGTCAAACTTGACAAAGTTTTAAGGGACAGATAAAGTATTACAAAAAATAGTTGCTATACTAGGCATATTGTGTATCTTCATGACTCTAACTAATGTCACGTGATGCTACATAACTTTCACCGTGATAAACACATACCGCGTGAAGATCATCTCTCCATCAGTTACTAAACACATGCACTTTCATTAATATATCTTCACTTGCCTAATCATAAATGTAGTCTCTCTATTAGCTACTAAAAAATTTCATTAGTCAAAATTGATTTGCATTGGAAGAACTATTTCTATGAGTATGTGCCGAATGAAACTTTATCCGTTCATTTTTAATCGCAACAGTCAACTTTGCACATTTATCAATGGAAATCATTAATTGTAAATATATCCTTATTCTCGATTAGTAAAAAATTGATTGTGAAAATTGTAGTGAGAGGAATTGAGCAGTATTATTTAAGCAAGTAATTCTCATAAATTAATAAATAAAAATATAATCAAAATAAAACACGTGAATAGTCTAAAATTGAACATGTAACTTGTAACTAAAAACCAGAGGATAGAATAATTTAGTAAACAGAATGAATGCGGTTTTATTTTATTACAAAACAACTAGCTAGGCAACTAGGCATAGTGTATATCACTAAGACTAATTAATTAATGTCACGTGGTGCAACAAAACTTTCAATATAGAAACACATACCGAAAATACTTTCTCTATGAGAGACCAAACATACTTGTGATAGTACATCTTCACTTGCTGAATCATAAATGTACGCTATTTTTTGACCAGATATGATGAGCACTTTTGCATTATTCCCTTTTTTAGAAAACAATTTGATGTCGTAAAAGTCGTCTTGTTTTTCAAATTTTGACATGGGAATGTCAAATGCTTTGAACCAAGACTCTCGTTTTCCACATTCTTTCATAATCAAAACTTGAACCATTTGCATCTTGTCATCCGTGCGAGCCATGCATAAACAATCATCTATGATCCCAAGTCCGACTATGGAATCTTCTTCTTCCGTGTTGCACGGGTCAGGAGAGGGCAATGTCTTGAACTCTTCGTTTATGGGATCGAAATAAGCAATGTTATTGCATCCCAAAGAGTTGTCCCAAACCCAACCAGAACCATCCTCATCGGAGTCGAATCCACAGGAATGTGATTCACTATAATCATCCAATCCAGTGGAATCTGATTCACTATAATCATGTTGATGGGGTTTGAGTAGTGCACAGGGACGCTTGACGTCACTTACCCTCCAATGAAATGTATTGTTAAAGTTGACACCGCTTCGGGGAGAGTACGAATTATATGGGAAGGACAGAAGTGTCCAGGCTTTGTTGTTTTGCAGGCTGGCAGAAAAAACAAATCCACCAAGAGCACGACCAGAAAACCCACTTTCACGGCTTATAAAAAACACAAATTTGTAATCCTTTGTGGAGGAATCATAACAAATGCCCCCAAGAACACTATTTCCGGGATTCCTAAGAGATCTGTGTTTCAGCACAACTCTGCACCACCTAGTAATGGGGTTCCACAACAAAACATTTTGTCCAGCGGCAACAAGCACAACACCATTGCAGGAACACAAAATTCTTGTGAGTTCACCATGAAAGAATAAAGGCTCTCTGAAGGAGGTTACCCTTTCAATGTTAAGATCATGGCCCATTGATCTGATGGTTAATCTTCTTCCTTTTCCGCGCCTTAGAGAGACGACCAGAAGTTGCAGTTTTGGAAGGTGGGCGACCTTGAAGTGATAAATAATGAAGGAGTTCCACTCTCGACATACACACTGGGATCTGAATAGATACTTCACCTACAACCTATGAAATATATTGCGGATGATTTCTGGGGGTAGTATTTTCAATGGATTTTTCCCAACTGATTGCAGGATGTCTTTTCGGACTCCGTAACAAGGAATGAGCACCATCAGGCGCTGGCCGGCTATACGGAGCTTCGTAAAAAGAGTGCAGTTAGGGTTTAATTCATGATTCTTTTTATACTACTACTACGTATTCATAATTCAGAGTATTTGTTTTTGAGGCGGCGATTATTCTCTCTTAGGAAACAGGGAACACAATACGTATGGCCAGTTTGGTAATTTGGAGGAGAGATGATTGATTAACTTAAGATCATACTACGTATAATACTACGTATCAGATACGTGGTAAATGACTAAAATATGTATAATTGACAAGATTAAAATGTGATTAATAACTTTCAAAGATGGGTTATTTTCAATGAACCATATATAATTCGTATAATATATATCATGAGGTGTAGCCAGGAGTAAGAGTTGAGATGGGTCGGTACAAAGAATTTTTACAGATATTTAATTTTCAATACTTCAATTTTTAAATTGAAAATATAAACAATTTTGAAATTTGGGCTGGCCCGGTTGGTCACCCCTCCACCTCTGCCCCTGAATTCACATGGGGGCATTTTATGTTATCCAACATTGGCTTTGTAGGAAAATAAAAACTACTCTGTACTTCATAGTAATCAGGGATGAATCCATGATTTCGAGTCAAGGTGGCGGAATTTTTTCATTAATGTAGGAAGCGGAAATTTTTCTGCACGGGGATTTTTTTCTAATAGTATAGCATAGCAAAACAAATTCACTAGTGTAGGACTGCGGCTATTTTGTATTCAAAAAATTCCATTAAATCATACACGATGAAAATTGGCTAAAGGGTCAAATAGGTACATGAACTAACTTAAAGTGTTCAATTAGCCCCTTATATAGGAGGTTCTGCCCGGCCGTCGCCAATTGGGGCGGTTTCCGGTGAAATTTTTTGATGAAATATTTTGAGCATCTTCTTCATTAAGTCTAGTTTATCCATACCAAATTTCAGCTAAAAACTCAACCGCAAAGGCAGTCAAATGATTTTTTGAAGATAACTGCGCAGTTAAACAACATAGTACATTTTGGAAAATCATTTGACTGCCTTCCCGATTTAATTTTTAATTGAAATTTGATATGGGTAAACTAGACTTAATGAAGAAGATGCTCAAAAAATTTCATCAAAAAATTCAACCGGGAACCGCCCTAATTGGCGACGGCCGGGCAGAACCTCCTATATAAGGGGCTAATTGAACACTTTAAGTTAGTTCATGTACCTATTTGACGCTTTAGCCATGAATTTTTTTCACTAGTATGACATTTAAATCTATTACTCCATACATTCTAAGATCAGACAATGGAAAAATAATTTTGATCTTATAATTAAAGTCCTCTAGGAAAAAGTATTGATATACTCGTATTAAAGTGTAAGAAATAACATATCAAAATTATGAGGCGGAAGTCCTTTCCATGCTATTTAATGTCAGATATTAAAAATAGACTAGTATCTGCCGATGTTTAGTGGCGGATTGGTCCGCCAGCCAGTTTTGTCGGTAAATACTAAATAGCAAAGAAACTTGTTCTGTCACTAAAATATATCATTAAACTACAAAATGAATAGTGCCTCAAATGAATCCTCATAGTCCACACATCTGACTTTATCAACCCATAGGCCTAACACGTAACATGTGGGTCTCGAGCGGTGAGTGTATGTGAATACGAGGAAATAGCAAGCAAGATGGGCTTAGAAATGTTTGCAATAGTGGCTGAGTGTTATTAATTAAGTTATAATAAGGACTCGTTACACTGCACTAATGCTACTGGTCGATGGCCGTTCGTCTTTTTCACAAGTCGAAGAGCTGCGAACATTGCTTAAGAGCAATAAGAGTGCTAGAATGTTATGGCGTAAGAGTTGCCAACTCTTTTCAATGAAATAAATGCTACTATGTATACTACCAATGGGCATGTGAGTATGCTGACGTGGAGAGATGTGGATGGCTAGAGTCTCAACCACCAAATCTTCAGCATTAAATGCGTCTTGGGCCTGTTCTCGGTGATGCCACCATGGGTGGGAGGCCGTGTGTCTTCTGGCTGTTGGTATAGGAGTATGCTGGCTAACCTTGGGCTAGAACTCCTTGAGCTGAGGGCCCGGGGTGGAGACGTACGTCATAGTTGCCTTGGGCCCTGGTGAATAATCGTCACTGGTTCGTTGGAGACGTTCGTCTAGGCCTTCCTCCCTGTTGGGCCCAAACGTTCATCGGAGGAGTTGATATGCACTAATTAGTAGTGCATAAATGTATATTTTTATGTTTAATTTGTTTGGATTGTTTATTGTTTTATTTAGTTTGTAAACATTTGTGTGATTTTAGTTGTAATTGCATTTTAATCTTCATTTGTAAGTTGTAAAGTAGAATTACGAATTATGGTGTTGAAGAGGAGGACTTTGAAGTGAAGAAAAAGGAATTTTGACTGTCCAGGAGCAAATACCCCACCGGGTAGAAGACTTCACCCGGTCGGGTCTGATTTAACAACCGAAGCATCACAGGAAATCACTGGACCCGGTCGGGTCCTCTACTTGACCCAGTCGGGTCTGAGGTAAACTCCGAAGAATCACATGAAGCTTCAAGACCCGGTCGGGTCCCCTAATTGACCCGGTCGGGTCTGACTTGACCCGGGACAAAAAATTGTGCCGAAGATCACCAGAACGTGGAGGATATATGATTTTGACCAGACCCGGTCGGATAGGTACCTAACCCGGGCGGGTACCCGGCCCAAGGTGTTGAAAAACACCTATAAATAGCATACTTTTCCTTCACAAATAATCACTCCTTCTTCCATACTCTTAAGCTCAATTTAGAATAGTGTTTCTTTTATATTTTTATAGCATGTTTAGTCTCCAAATGAGGAGCTAAACTACCATTTCTTGGTGTTGCTCTTGAAGCTTGTTGATTATTAAAGTTGTGAGTTCTTTTCTTAACTTCTTCCCTTGAATATTAATTCTTCCCTTAATCTATCTCTATATAATGTTGGGGAGTGTTGCTAAGATGACAATTAGTTAATATCTCGACATTAATTACTACTAGAATCGATCAACGAACCGATGGTTAATCGTTGATGGTTTCACAAGTAAGTAACTTCGGTTTATTAATGCACGGTCGTGGTTAATAAACTTAAGATGAATTAATTTTGTTGGTTAAACCAAAATCGTTGTGTTGAGGTTATCAATCTCAATTGATTTCATGAAGGAGTTAAGAGATTAAATGCTACTATTAAATCGGTATACGGCGTTGTTCTATATTTGATTAATAGTAATTAAGGGTTATTAATGAACGACGGTCGTTGTTAATAACTACCCTCGATGAATTGGAGATACTCCTCGATTGAGTATTCGGGAGGGGATAAGTTATAGATATAACAATGATCGACTAAAATATATCAACAAGTGGAAAGTAGCAATGTCAAGTTTTTTTTTATCTTTGAATTAAATCATATATATAAGTTGTTTATTTTAGTATTCAATTAAATTAAATCATTCAAACCCCCAAAACCCCCTTTTTATTTACTAGTTTTATAAAAAGAGAATTATTCTTTTCCCTGTGGATACGAAATCTACTTTATACTACGTATAAGTGTTAATATCGATTTATTTTGACGCACCATGACAAAGTGCTCGTCCGGAGTGAGTATTGGGCCGATTCCCAGTATCGGGGCATTAACCCAACACATATATTTAATTAATCTAGTATGTATATATATATATACATATATATATATATATATATGCATGTATAATAATTTAGTATATCTGCATGTATGTTTCGATAATAAAAAATAGTTTGGTCTTTATTTATTTCGTTTCCTAAATTTCCTCAAGAATAAAATTTAAAATCCAAAAATAAGTGAATTAATTAAATGAAGATGATTGGTAGAAAATATATACTGTAGGAGATTTCCTATTAGATAAGAAAATTCAATATAATTAAAAACATCCTTAAAGTTATATATATTGTAGATGAAATTCATAAAAACACACACCACATACGTCGCACCTGGGAATCGACACATTTTCCTTATTATAACGTTGCAAGTAGTCCCTCAATGATGCCTTCCGTCGCTGTATAATCCGGTACAGGTCGCTGGTTTGTGTCTAGAGAACCCGACTACTCAAAAATTGCAGGTTGAATAGGTTGACAAGTTTTGCAAATGAGCTGATTCCTTCAATGGGTAAGTTGGCGAACCACGTCAAGGCGGGTCTTGTCAACGTCGCTCTGAACGCTCTAAACATGCATGCCTCATGTTAAACCGCCAGCATTCGTTGTTTGTATTGGGCGATATGCTCCAACGGGCCAGAACTTTCGTGAAATAGCTTCATTGATGGGACAACGAATTTTATAGGGATCTAAATATCGGTTATCGGTCGAAAAAAGGAAGAGCTAGCATAGCATGTATGTGAAGCGAGGTCCAAGGGTGGTGGTACCCCAAGGATGCCGTTGATTTTATCTTGTCGTCACGATATTTGGATCGACTCTTTGAGCTGCTTCTGGTCTAGTTGGTGAAGGGATGACGATCACATCTGGTTCTGGAGGTCTTTGGGTTGGAATGTTGACATGTTCATGAGCTCGTCGCATTTGACTATTTGAGGTTCTAGGAACAGGTTATGAAATATGTTCCGTGGGGGGTTTGACATGGGAACAGATTGACTCGACGGTCTTGGCTCTCCAAACACTCTGGCCCTAGACTAAGGAAAGAAAGATAAGGTTCCGTCGGGGCTGAAACGGCAGTTGACATCGGGATACTTTTAGTAACTGGATGTGTAGCAAATTTGATTACTTGTACGGAGTATTGATTAAGAAGATTGCAAATTGCATGAATGAGAGGTCATGATTCTCACATTTTTATGGAGTGTCTCCTACCAATTGCTTGTTGTTTATTACTAGGCACAACTTGAAAAGCGAGTACGAGTGCAAAGAATCAATCAGAATCATGCAATTGAATTATTTAAATCTAAATTAAAAGGGATTTAATGATTTGGACCAATCAAATGCATGATAGGTACGATATCCAATTTTTTAAATGGGTACCGGAGTTGTCACCAAAGAAGAATTGAAGTATTATGCAGTGTCTGATACCAATTGCTTTTTAGCGAGTGTCAAATTTTTATTACGAAGTACGTCGTACTTCTAATTAGTTAATCCGTATTAGTTTA